AGGTAACACCAATCCAAAAATGGAGAAAAAAATATGGTAGCACCGAAGAACAGCTCTCTGCCACCTCAACAGCAGCTGAAGGTATCCTCAAACACTTCTCTTTTCACCTCCCAAGCCAGCACCCAGCCCTGGAGCCACCAAGCATGTGTGTTGGGTTCCTTGATCCTTATGCAGCATTGCTCATTATATGGTGGCCTCACAGTGAAATCCATCTGCCAACCACATAAAAAAAACACTTGCATTTGAAGGTATTTCTAGGCCAGACCTCAATCAGCTTGATGCCATGATTCATGCAGAAGCAGTGGCAGGAGTGGTGGTAATAAGTCCCCAGTGAAGTGGACAGGGCTTTGCAGTGTGCCAGCTCATATCCAGGCCAGGCTGGGCTCACCTGGGTCCACGGGAACAGGAAATATTCTTACAGGAAGGTGGAACAAGAAAGGGCCTCTGCCCTGTTCCCTTGTAAAAGCTCTTCTTTGCCAGCCTCCACATGTAGTGCTACACATCTCTTCTAGACTAGGGATGCTCAACCCCCAACCTGTAGGACAGATCCAGGCCATGGAGCCATGTGATCTGGCTCACAGATCTCCCCAAGGGTCTGGAAGTTTGCCTGGAGTGGGGAGCAATGGTAATTAGAACTGCCACCAATCCCCTGCTGCTAAATCTCCAACCCCCATGGGCCAAAAGACACAGCTCTGTGCATGGGATCCCATTTCATTCCATCCAGGAAGAGCACACACCAACTGCTGAAACTTCCTTAGCCTGACAAAGGGTTTTTGAACCCGAAAGCTTGCTTAATAACTATTCTCCAACAATTTGGGTTGGTCTAATAAAAGATATCAAATTCACCCAAGGAACTTTGTCTGCCTACATCCTTAGAACAACACGGCTACAACCTACACCCCTGGGATTCCACTGGCACTTGTGGAGCTGGGTGATGGGGCCCGATCCACACATAGGGCTGGGGACAGGGTGGGGCAATGGGTCCCACTCCCACAAGGCAGGAGGTGGGGCAGCAGTTTGATTTGGCACATGTAGGGCTACTGGGGCTAGGGTCCAATCCAGTAAATGCGGGTCAGGACTGGGGCAGCAGGCCCAATCAGGCATGATGCCATGGCTGTGATAAGGTGTGCAGGACTGGGGCCTCGTCTGGTACATGCTGGATTGAGCCCTAGCCCCATGTGTACCAGGCTGAGCCTACAGACTGGATCTGGCCCACAGACCCACCCCGAGCACTTGGTTCAAATGGGATCTCCAGCTCAGCAAGTCTGAACATGCAGGCCTGGCCACACAGCAAGCAATTCAGAGAACTCCAGCACCCCTGGCCCCGAGCCCTGTGCTCAGGCCACTATTCTCCACTGCCTGCCTAAAAAGCAGCTGCACACATTTTAGTCAACAAGCAACTGTGGCCAAGGGAGAATAGGGATTGATGAGCACAGACACTTGTTCAGCTTGTAGCACAAGGAAGAGGAACAAGAAGACCTTAATCATCTTTTTGCGGATGCAGCCAAGTGGAAAAGAGGAGTGCATTGAATGCGATGAAAAGGCTCGTTTTTCCAGCAGTTGTCTGAGACCCGCTAGCCAAGTGTTGTGCTCAAAGAACAAAGACAAGAGGAAGTGGCTCCTCTAGCACTGTCTGCCTCCCAAAGATAAAGGAGGATGGAGTGCAGCAATCTGCCCAGCCTGCAAAGGTGAGTGAGAGAGACAGGGAGAAGAGCTGCTGAGATAACTCTGAGCAAAACTGTAGTGAGGGTGTACTGAGCAATACTGAACAGGGCAAAGAGGGGAAGGTGAGCATCCAATGGATTTTTTGTGCCTGTGTGATGTTCCCTGTCCTGTTAAGAGATGTCATTGTGATCACACATCATTGGAATAAACTGCTGAACAGCAGATGAGAGCAGAAAGCTAATCCAGGGCTTCATGGTGTTCACTTGCTGTGCTGCACAGCTAGGAAGGGATTGTGGGAATACTCAACTGAGCTCCCAGGAAGAGGGGGTTGAGTTGTTCTTTTGGCTCACCTGGTGCACAGCACTTGTCAGGGAGATCCAGGGCCTTCTGAGGCTCCAGCCCATCACTGGCTTCCACAGTATGGAGTGTACTCTTCAGTGGGTCTCTGTATTTAAACTAGCAGGTGTGTTAAGATCTCTGCCACCAGTCAGCAGGTTGCTATGTTGCTTTGTGAGGAGAAATAGCACTATATAAAATTACTGGGCGCACAAGGCACTTGTCACTGCCGGTAATCACAGCTGGTCAGCTCTGCAAAGTTCTGCTCCAAGTCTTCAGAGCCTGGCACCTGACACCAAGGCTGCTGTTGGAGGGTCAATGATAGGTAAATGCACTTTTCAGATTCCACCCAGTAGAGGTCAGCAGACACATTTTTATAATAGGATGCAATGCACTCACCTCTTAAGACAGATGGCTGGACCCAGCAGGAGCCTGGCTTTGGTAGCACAAGGAATGGTTGGAAGCCTAAAGAGATTACTGGGCGCTGGAGGCTCTTGCAGCAAGGCATTTTGTAATGGAAGCAGGAAACACCAACAGGTCAAACCATTCATTATACGAAGTGGCTATTGTAAGTAACACTGAGGAAGGGGACCACTGCTACAGAGGTTTCTCCTTTGAACTGTTGTCCTTGTGCTCATTCCACAGTGGGTGCAGATACAGCTCGTGCACTTGAGA